TAACTTTCTAGCTAATCCAGGCTCCTGAGTTAGCAACTTACTCGAAAAAAATTTGTGGTTACCACGCGTACCGGAAGTCTGAGCTTGAGCTCAATGAGACTTAGGTGAACGAGGAATATCCTCTTAAAATTACAGTCCTTTAGCTTTTCAAATTTCCAAGTTATCAACTTGGCCAAAAAAAAAAAAAACATTGGCGGGCCCGTGCGTGGGATCACGCACACTCGAAGGCTGGGTTTGAACACATTAATATCCACCTGGACCGGGAGCATCTCCTTGAAATTTTAGCTTTTTAGCTTCTCAGATCCCCGAATTATGAATTTACCCGAAAAAAATTTTGGCGGGCCCGTAGGCGGTCACCACACTTACCCGAGGGATGGGTTTGAGCTCATTAACATCAACTTGGACGGAGAACATCCCTTTAGATTTCAGCTTTCTAGCTTCTCAGATCCCCGAATTATGAACTTACCCGTAAAAAACTTTGGCGAGCTCTTACGTGGGTACCATGCGGGTAGTGGCGCCCATTTTGGGGACTGGAGACCGTACGTGCATGTAGATTAAGTTCCCAAAGTTTCACCCCTGTAGCTTTTGTAGATCCTGAGATGAAAATGGGTGACAGATGCACACACAGACACACGGACACACAGACAACCCCTCGTCAATATACGTTTCTGCATTGCATAGCTGCAAAAAACGCACAAAAATTGCCAAAAGCTAACAGGGCACAATTACTGAATAAAAATTAACCTGGACGGGTGCATGCAACGGATTTTCTAGCACATCCACTTGTGTCACTTCATAATTTGTGGGAGCAGTGCGCTCCAGGAAGTCACCATCCATATCAGTATGCTTGTCTTTGTCACTCATTTTGAAAATGCAAATATCTTTTGAGCCAACAGCCAGCAGATGGTAGCTTCGTCCCGCTGATGGTGCAAATGCAATATCTGTTACTGGATCAGTAACTTTCAATGCTGGCAAGTCTAGCAGCTGCCATTTCCTGTAAGCATTTTGCAAAAAAACATAAGCTCATGAGTGGATCTGAAAGAAAACATGAGCGAAAATTGCAACTCCTTAATTGTAAATGGAAGAAAATAATATAAAAGGAGGAAGCTCAGGGGAAGGAAGACAAAGAGGAAGATTGTGGAGCTAAAGATATGTGATAAGGGGCAGACTGTCATCAGTCAGTCACATTTCTGTTGAATTCTGCGAAGCTGTGATCACAGAAGCAATGAACATGTAGCATGTCATCACAACAGCGAGGAAATATGAAAAGACGGGGCATGTTGCTCGACTTGCTGACAAGTCGCTTAACGACTGCGATGGGATTCTTATCGACAAAAACAGGAATGTACGCGACTTAAAGGACTGAGACGTTCCTATTCAGGTTTTTTAATCCGTTTTATCTTATTCACCCTCCTTTTATTCCTTTCTTTTTTAACCCTTACTTTTTACATAAATACACATCATCTAAAATTAAAATTACAAAAGACGGGATTTGCATATTCAGGAATAATAAAAAACACCAGCTTACCTGAGATGGTCGTGACATTCGTACACAGCAACTCGTTTTGCAGCACTGTGTGTATCATCCGAACCCACTGCAATAAGCGGTTTCGTTAGGCGTTGAGTACTCCATGTCAGGCAACTGCAGCGACCACGAAAGACGACTATATCTTGAGTAAGGCTCCACATCGATATGTTCATGATATCTGGCGCTTCATAAATTCGTAAAACGCCTTGTGAAGATACAGTTGCCTGAAATAAATGCATATTGGAAGTCTATCGGCGAAATCTAAGTTTTTAGTTCCAAAATTTAAATAATAATTTTTTCACACCGGTTGA